GGGGGGGGAGTAAGGGACTGAAGGATATAAAAGGTTTTACTGCTTTATTCAGTTTTCTTTATTCGTGTTCATTACTTGTCTCTACCAGGTGACCAAAAAATCAACTTTACCAACGGAGAGTTGTAGGTTTTTCCGTCGGTAAAGTTTTTTTGGGTAGGTCAGTGGTCAAATGTACTCTCATAAGCATATATATGTATGTCCTCACAAATGTAACATACTCTTGCCTTTCAGGGGTCAATGTTCTTCCACAAGCAGATGTCTGTCCAAATAGAACATCATGTATGCATGTCAAATACTCATTCGTTTTGCCAAATTCTGATCCACAAAATCGGTTTCTCTCAATACAGAAAAAGCGTGAAATTGATGAGGAGACAAACTTCTGCTCTGAGGAGACGTTGAAAATGATGCTGAGTGGGAAGGTGAGGGTTCTTCATATAGTATTAGTTTGTCAGTCTTTGTTGCTAAAAGTATAGTTCCTCTCACGAATTTGCTCTTTGAATGATATCAGGGGACTGGTCGGTCACTACTGGAGTTAACTGATCTTATCATTATGTTGTAAAAGTATTTCAAATACTCAAATAAATTCCTATGAATTTAATAAAATATTGATCTGGCCTCTGAATTTAAAGTCCATTTTTGATAGGATCTTGCCAAGTAGACAGAGAGCCTTGAAGCCTCCACAGAATCCAAGTTCAAGAATGCCCTTTTGTCAATGCGAGACATGTCATCCACACTACCGCTTAGCATGATAGTTAATCATTTACCATTTACAGTGTACCTTTACCATATGGGAGAAAAAGTCCACATTATTCTATTACTCTTTATACTGACAGGACTTTAAGTTACATCGGTTTTTTTATTTTCTTTCTCTGCAAAGAATTAGACTTAAAGCAATGATGTTGTCTGTCACTAGTTGAACTAAACAAAGCTTTTAGTCATTCTTTTTTTCACCCCTTTTGTATGTTTATTTATGAACTGTTTTTAGATGGTTTAACCTTCCTTTTTTTTAACCATTGATCCCAGTGAATTTCTGTCGTATTGTTTAAGTGACCAAACTGTATCAATTTTACCGTTAAACAAATGCCCTGACAAAATGTCTCAAATGTAGAGGCAAGACAGCAAGCCTTCATCCTGTTTGTTTTGCTCTCTCCGCCCAGAGTGTGTTTGACCGACTAGAGCCAGAGGAGATGAGACGAGCACGGACAAGATCTAATCCTTATGAGACCATAAGAGGAGTCATTTTTCTGAACAGGTGATGGGGATGATATCAAATGCTTACCCCCTCCCCGTCTAAACCCCCCCCCCCAAAAAAAAAAAATTATTAATAAATAAATAAACTGGGAGATACTTTAGTCTGAGTGAAGATTTCATTAATTACAGCAATTCTGATGAAATTTAAAGGGATAACCTTTTTTTCATAAAAGAGTTGTGGCATTTGTATGTACAAAACAGATTTGCATATCTGTTTTAGTTTCGTTAAATATATTCAAGGTAGTTATATATTAATACATTTTATGTTTTGTTTAGCCAGAGGACGGTTAAATGTTGAGAGGAACATTTTAGTTAGTTAGTATTTCTCTTCGAAATTCCTACTCTGGTTTTTTTTGTGTTTAAAATTTGTGATTAAAACATGACGGCTAATTCTTTTGTCTAAGTAGTCTGTAATAAGTATCTTTTATAAATTTTAGAGCTGCCATGAAGATGGCAAATATGGATGCCATCCTAGACTTCATGTTCTCAAACCCAAGAAAGCCAAATGGGGTAAGTGAACTTTTGATATCTGTTTATCAACCTCTTGAGGTTTTTTTTTTTCTGGTAGAGATTGGATTTTGTTTGTACTAAGCTGTTATAACTTTTATTACTTTCCTGTTAACATGTTTCTAGAGTCTTGGCACAATACTTTGTTTGACCATAGACTGACAGTGGCGAAACATTTCTTAAAGGTTCTTATTTGTTGCCCTTTGGAACAACTTCACACAGTTCCTTGTGGTATAAATGCTTCATTTCAGAAGTGAAAAGGTTTTTTCACTGTGAGAATCAACACTGTGTAACATTTCATTTTCTCTGGTATTTTTTACGTTGATCCATAAACAGGACTGTTCTGGTTTGAAACCCCTATAGAACATTCTTCTACCTAAGTTATATTAGGAACATTTCTTCGCTCTCTACCCAGTTGGCTTGGTACTTTTGAAGCTTGGCATTAACTCAGAAGTACTGCCTTTTTTCAAGCCAAAAAGAGCCTTTGAAGACTCACTTTTATGAACAGCACCATGGTGAGATCCTTGGCATCTTTAGTTGTCTAATTGGGGTGTATTTTTTGTCCATGAGTGGCTAGTTCAAATGTGAGGTACGCTGACAAAATGAGTTACTTCTTGTAAAATCTTATGGAAATAGATATGTCAAATTAACAAGTGGACTTTGTACAGTTTATAAGTTTGAAATGTTAAAAACACATGTTATACTTTATTTTTTAAAAATGACATCGATAAATCTACCAGTTTGACCCCAATGTTAGTTTTTAGCTGATACTTCCATTCATGGATCGCGGGAAGTTACTCATGACTTTCTCATAATGATATTCTTCCTCCTAGGAGTCTCTGGTAGAGGCGAATGAGCTGCTGTACTTTGCTGATGTGTGTGCTGGGCCTGGGGGGTTCAGCGAGTACTTGTTGTGGAGGAAGAAGGGAGAGTCGAAAGGCTTTGGCCTGACTCTCAAGGGCTCTAATGACTTTAAGCTGGAGGACTTCTATGCAGGACCCCCAGAGATGTTTGAGCCCCATTACGGTAAGCAAGATTTGAAACTCGGTTAAATGCAGGCCACTATTTCCAAGTGAAAGGGATGGTGAAATGTTGTCATTATTAGGGTTCCGTTTATTTTCGTTCTTTGTGAAGATGACGAGTAGGAGGAATTTGTTACGGAAGTGTATTATTCTTACTCTGAAATGTATTTCCAGAAATACCTTTGAGTTTACTGGATGGACAGTTACTGATAGATACATGAACACACCTAATTTGGGTCCAGCACCTTTTGTGAATTACTTAATGTTATTGTTGGAAAATGAAGGATGTAAGCAAGAATTTAAAAAAATCTTTTTTAAGGGTTGAAGCAGCTCCTGTCTGAGATCTAGCCAAGTAACTTAGAAGAAGTAAAAATCAATTTCCCCAAGTCTTTTATTCTTGCAGGTGTCGGAGGTCTGCATGGAGATGGTGATATTTTCAACCCGGACAACCAAGCTGCTTTCAGGAAGTTTGTGTTGGACAACACAGGGGGTCAAGGAGTCCATGTTGTCATGGCCGATGGGGTAGGTATATTTTGTTTCCTGGTTTTCAAGATGGAACATAGGACATTTGGTACTGACCAAAATGTTCTCGCCCCAGAGATAAATGGCGAGATTGTTGAGATCACCCGGGCATATAGATACTTAGGGATCACTATAGATATCTAGTTGTCGTGGAAAGAACTTGTTGACTTTGTATCAGAGGCCACATTTTTTTTCCAGAATTAATTTAAAATAGACAGAAATGTCATGAAAACTTTCTACAAGGCAACGTTCGAAAGCATGGTGGTAACATTTCTAAGCAACGGTTATTACTTTTAGCTAGAGTTATACAGAAAGCGGCAAAAGCTCCTCTCTTTCACTTAGCTTTACAACATCAATATTGTGAAAACAATAAAGCAGATCATTGCTAACACCAAAGTCCCATTAAATTCAGAATATCAGACGTCTGTTTTATTTTTTTTTTAAGCAAGAACCAACAGGTATAAAAATTCATTCATGCCAGCATCAATACAAGCTATTATCAGGTGTGCGAGGAAAACATTATTTTGTATATATCCATCCAATGACTTTTCATGTGCATGTGCCTGTGTATGTAAGTGTTTGTGTTTGTGTGAAAGAGAAAGTGAGAAAGAGGGAAGGAGCGTGTTAAGGAGTGCATTTTCATGTATGTATTTACGATGCTGCAGCAAATTTGTCCTTGTGGAGATCATTAATTTTTATCATGTCTCATCTTACCTTATCTTACTTTCTATAAAAAGAAGTATTGTTTTGTACTTAAATTTTTTTAATACTTTTTTTTTTCGTCTTTTATTTTGAGACCAGTAATATAATCTGTTTTCTTTCAGGGTTTCTCTGTGGAGGGCCAAGAAAACATTCAAGAAATTTTATCAAAGCAGCTGTACCTGTGCCAGTTTTTGGTGGCTGTCTCCATCTTAAGAACAGGTCTGTAACATGGTTGTTATGATGGAACCTGGTGCTCCTATTGATCCTGTCCAAAGAGATTTTATATATAGTACAAGAGCTCGCAGCTTTGACATCACATATGTCAGGCATGGGGGCCTTTTTTCCCTCATCGGCTAGACCAATATGCCCTCAATCACGTAAACAATCTGACCTCCCACCCCGTTCCCCAAAAGCTCTAGTATATTAATTTAAACACCACCCTGCCTCCATATTTCAGTGCAACCTTGTAGATTTCCTCCAAAGGCGGCCGAGACACCTCCACGTGAGCCTTGAAAAGTACTCCCCCATCTTTTTTGTTTTAGTAGAGGTTTTACGGCGCTTGCAATTGCATAAGGTCATATGAGCGCCAGAAGATTAGAGATGTTGCAAGAGAGTAACAAACATAAAAAAGAAGAAGGGGAAATAAGGACGATAGATGTTTGATAGGAAAGAAGAAGCAAACCACACCAGAGCACCCGCCAACCAACCACACTCCACCGTCTTTTTAACTGCTCCTGTTTTGCCTTTGAGGTTCAACGTCCCAGAGTGGGAACATGCAGCGTTTGATTCTTTAAGTGTTTCAACCATCCACCATTCATACTACCTGCTTACGGAGTCAAACTCAAAGATTTTATTCTCAAAGATGTTATTGATTTATTACAGGATAAAATCTCCAATGTATATATTCAAGTGATTGTTTTTTAGCCATACCACGGCGTCACTTTTCACCCGATTCTGTTACTTTTAGTAAGCGTGACTCAGCAGCCCGCCGGAGCTACCCGGCTCGGGGTCACGGGGTTAATGAGCCCTGAAGCGACTTTGCCGGTGTCGGTCAGGAATTTCGCATTTTTGACTATGTTTAAAACGATATAACTTCTTCCCCATCCCACATAGCAAACCATTACACGGATGTACTAAAAGCTCAATGTCTTGAGATTTATTCTGCGTTAGAATGGTTAGTTTCTGTGCCTTAGTTTTTGTTCTAGACAAGTGTTTGTAGAGTACCCAATTTGTCCTATTTTAGTTACAAACTTATGAATAAATGATTGGTAATTTAAAAAGGGCTCAACAGATCTCTCCAAAATCTGTGTTAAGCTGACTACGAAAATCATGTCTTTTACCATGAGAAATCTTAAATCTGCGCCAGTAGTAATAGTCAAGTTATAAGGGAAGAAAGATGCACATCTGCATTTTTTAACTAAAGACGATCAGCGTTAGCTCTTATTTTACTATTAAACAAGAGAGAGTTACTCTGTGTTTGTTCATGAATCATGCTGTGTCTGTGCATACAACTAAAAAGATATAATATAAGCGATTAAAAAAAACACAAAACCATGTAAATACATGGGTAGAGATAAGCTTCTTGTATGGAATAAAAATAATGATAGCTAAAACATTCATTCTTAGTTTTTGTGTAGGAAATATGCGCGGACACAATTATGAATGTAAAGAAATCAGTTACATTGTCAGTTATTGCAAATGGTCATAGAAACGAAGAAAAAAGATGGAAAAGTCTGGTGCTGATTCAGTGTCCCTGGAAAGCTAGAAATTATTCTTATAACCCAATTACAAGAAGTCATCCCTATTATTCAGTCAACTTACAAAACCTAGACTTAGCGTTTTAAGAAAAGTAAGGAATTTCTGAAGTGTAACAGATACTGTTCATGTATTAAATCTACGTTGAAGATGTATTCTAGCACTAAAATCGATTTGTACTTTTCATAGAGAAACTTCATGGTAACTTTTATTAACTTTCGAGAAAATATGCGAATATTCACGGTTATATTAGACACATAAAGTTGTATTTGGAGGAATTACTTCATTGCGAATTGTGTGCCCAATGGATAAAATTGTAAAATTACAGCCTTCTATTATATACGCAGATACCATCTTTTCTGAGTATCTGCATCAATGTTATGTCGTTCATGTTCCAAAAGTTCGACAGATTTTGACGATGCTTTTTTTATAATATTGATTTTTTTTCTTTCACGCTAATCAAAAAAAAATTACAATTTAGCATTGCCGACTCCAGCGCGTCTAACGAAATAACCAGACAAGTTACAACGTCCGTTCTTTTTTGAGTCTTAATAGCAGAAATGCGTGCTTTGGGTGCACTAAATGAGAATTACCATAAATACAAGGATACACCTTAAATTGTACGTTGAAAAGTACAAAAAATTAGGTCGGCCCAGACAGAGCGGCGACAGGGAGCTGACCCCCGTGACCCCGACGTGATAAGGCGCCCGGCGGGGAACCCCCCGCAGCAACAAAAATTCCACTGCCGGTGCGCCGTGATACATATTTATTTCTCTGAATTGATGAATATTTTTATTTCTTGTATTTCCTTGTGGGCAATAGGTAATGGTCATATGTTCATTCATTAAAGTTTTTCTGCTCAAGACAAAGTTCCTGTGTATTTGCAACTTCTTTCCATTTACTTTGAAATGTAATCCATCTTTGGTCTTTAGCGAGGTTAGTGCATGCTCTAGTATTATGGTCTGCTCCTCCTTCTACTCTTCTCTTTTTCTTTTGCTTTGATGTGTCCCGGAACATCGTCGTGATGAGTCAAGATGAACCACAACTCAAGTCAATATTTTTATCAGAGCACGGTCAGCGGTTAACCACCTTATGGTGATGAGACCATAATGGTTTTGTCCGCTTGACTGTGCAAACACCACATACTATGGTCTCAGCTGATACAATGATCAATGATACTAAGTTTTGGCCAGAATTGTGCAAAAATTCGGGGAAGCTCATATTTTTATTGTGAATAGCAGATGTTTTTTGTTTACACCTCACAAAAAGCCTTTTTTGTTGCTGTGAGTAATTCTGAAGAGTTTATCAATGATCCAAACTGGATTTGCAAAGAGAAAGTTGATTTTTAAAGATTCTGACTCGAATGAGAGAAAGGTATAGCTTTGTTTTTATTCACTTATTCTAGGTTTATTGCATTTTGATGGATATCTTTCTACAGTAGCAAATTTAAATGTTCATAACATATTTGGATTGTAGGCAAATTGTATCTACCTTTTCTGATTTAGCACGTAACATTTTATCCTAAGCGAAAGTGGTTGACAATTGACTTGAGATTTCAAATTCTACCTTTTACTCTGTATAAGGATAAATGTCATCTTTCTTCTGCTTCCTCAGGGGGCCACTTTGTGTGCAAGCTGTTTGACCTTTTCACTCCCTTCAGTGTGGGACTTGTGTACCTGATGAACATGATCTTTGAGCAGGTGGCTATCTTCAAACCAGTCACAAGCCGACCAGCTAACTCGGAGAGGTATCACACTATTTTTTTCTCTGCTGCTTGCTTGTTTTGGGTTGGGTTTTTTGTTGTCTTTGACAATTCCTGCATCCCCTCTTGAGGATGAACTGCCACCTTTTTGATAGAATAAGAAATAGTGTTGTTCTTTGTAGTTGACAAGGTATGCTTCAGTGACCAAAGTCGTGGAAAGGAAATAAAGGATTTTTGTACGTTTTTTAATATCTTGATTGTTTTGAGTTACCTGCTTTGGAGAGCAATTTTTCTGTTTTACATATCATCGCTTTAGACCAATTTGTACAAAGTGCACTGTATAGTTAAGTGCACTTTGGACAAAATACTTCTGAGGCGACATGGTTTCTCTCACTACACCCTCTGAATATCATATCCTTGAATACCGCATGGCTGGAGGCACCATTGGCATGTTCTTTTTCTTCACCATCTCTCTTCCATTTCTGTATTCTGTCATGCTTTTTACCATCATTCATTAAGTGATCATCATTATGTCTCTGCGCTTGTTCTCTTTACCTCAGACACACCTCTGATTTCAGGTACATTGTGTGTAAAAATTTGAAGGAGGACAATGAGACTGTCCGCTGCTACATGCACGAGATCAACGTAGACTTGTGTCGTTACATGTCTGCCGTGTCTGTGGATGACATCAACCACATTGTCCCACTTGACACGCTCATGAACGATGAGCCATTCTTTATGTACATGGTGAACTCCAACGAAAAGTAAGTCGCTTTGATTGATTATAGAGGATGTGATATAACAAATAAGATCAAGATGCTAGCCGATGATAGGGAAAGGCGGAAAGTGTTTGTTCGTGGTCTAAACCCTGATGCAGGGTGAGAAAGGCATTGATGATTACGATATAACTAATAGGAAATGAGAAATCAAGGCTACTTTATTTCTATTGGATTTTTTTTTCTCCATTACATCTGCTGTAGAAGAGTAAGTATGCTTACATGATATCGTATTTGATTATAAACTTGTAAAAACCTGTTTATTTTTTTCCGAATGAAGCTCTCGCATTTCTCAGAAGGTGAAAAAGCTCCCACCAATTTGAAAATAAATATTGTGCTGGTGAGAGGGGTGTCATCGAATCCCAATCTCAACTTGACAACTTGATAGCTGCTTATTGTTTTTTGGATAATATGCTTACTTATTTCTTCACCATTTTCACTTCCCCCCCCTCCTCCTTCTCATTTTCCTCCTCTTTCCTCCTCTTCTTACTGTTTTGATTTCTCCAATCCCCTGTTTGAGCTTAGAGGTACCTAACTTTTGGTTTACAGTATAAGTGAGTATCCATTTTTTTGTCTTTATCTTTTGTTCACCAGCTTTGCCAAGGTGCAAGCCATCCACCTGAAGAAAATCGAAGTGTTTACTAAGAACAGGTAATTTCTTTTTACTTTGTTGCAATTGTTCCCGAATTTGATAATCAATTTTGAAAATTGATAGTATGTATTTGAAAGCATGAAGAGCTTCGAGGACAATTATTTTTTATTATAGTTTATAGTTTTTATTTTATTGGGAGAGATCCAGAACCTTTCATAGCTGTACCAAAGGCTTGCCTTAAATAGGGGAAAACAAATGTATTGTATACATTTTAATTTTGATGCTGTTGTTAATTAAACAAGTTTCTCATTAAAAAATACTAATTAAATAATGTTTTCTTTCTTTCATTCTTTCAGCTCATGTTCAAATTGTTTTTCTTTCTCTGTGTGTGGTTTTCTGGTGCTCTGGTGTGGTTTACTCCTTCTTTCCTATCAAACATTTATCTTCCTTATCTCCCCTCTTTCTTTCTTGTGTTTGTTACTCTCTTGTAACACCTCTGATCTTCGGCACTTGTGTGACCTTAATGTGTTGCAAGTGCCATAAAACACTTACTAAAACAATTTAAAAAAAAAAAAAAGTTTTTCTTTCTCTGCAGCCAGTTGTATGAGACCAGGCAATCAGAGGTCAGGAAGAATTGCTTACTGAAGTGGAAGGTAAGCAGAATGTATTTATAATTCATCTATTTTAGGGAGTTTCTTTGTCGGGGGTGGGTGGGGAGACAAGATTTTTGTCAAATGTGGGGTTTTTTCAAGTTGTCTGTCCTTTCAATATTTTTCCCAAGTGTTTATTTCTTTTACCCATTGTTGTTGTAGTAAGACCCATTGATTGTGACTTGGAAAAAAACTAGCTGTTCACTTACCATTCTTATCTAGCTTGCATCAACAATTAAATTAAGTAATTTAGATTAGCTTACAGTTTATTTTAAATTTTTTTCCAGATACCAGATGAGGTACGAGCTGCTCCTGGTCGACCGGATCCAAACTCTGTGTTCCAGTCTATGGTAAAGGTAAGAAGTCAAAGCAGTCCCTAAGGACAGTGTTTATACGGAACAGCCCTATAATGATGGCATGTATGGCTATTTCAGCTCATGTGTGCCTGAAAGTGCCAGCTGTGCTCTTGTTCCTTTCATTGTTGAGTGATGCACTAGTTCACTGCCTCCCTTTCAGGTTTGTAAATCAAAGTGCCTGCCAACAATATTTGGAGGGGTAGTGGAAGAGAAAAGTTGTGATTGAGCAAACTAAGAAAGACTCATGCGAGAGGAGATTTTTGAAAATGTAATTTGTCAAGGTCATACTAGAGGTGCTGATTTTTCCTCTTTTATTCAGAAATCCAGATTTCTTGGAGTGTTGAGACTTTGCCCCACTTTAGGCTGATTGTTGAACTTAGAATATAAAAATGTGTGTCATTGTGATAAAATCAGACACTCGTCAAACTAATGAGATTGAAGCAACCAACATTTTTCTGCCTATAGGGCAATTTTTGTCAAGAATTTTTTGGGGTAGTTTTTAGACTTTTTTTTAGTATCCTCAACACATTTTGTGTTTATTTAAAAACATTTCTGTGCAGATTTTACGGAAAAAAACATTGTTCTATGACACTTTACTTTAACTTTACTTTTCCGCTCCAGCGGCCATTTGGGTTCTAGCCCTTCGGTCTTTCGATATGGCCAAGAATTGACAGGTTTATGTGAAAATGTGAAATTACAGTTTTTAAAGTTGCTCAAGCTTTGGAATTCATCCTGTTCAAGATTGACGGAGCGTTACAATGAAACTTTTTTTTTTTCTTTATTTTTCAGGGTGACTCTGCAGTTCTGGAGCAGGGTGGGACAGTACTGACCCAAGACAATCTAAACAGTATCAAGTCTTTAGCAAGTTACTCCTGCTCTGTACTAGGGGATGGTCCAACATTCCACATACTGGGATGTGGGGTAAGAAAGAAAAAAGGCTATAGTTGTGATTGTGAAAATAGACCCGAAATGTGTGTTACGTTGATAATTTTTTGTTTACTTTCTCTTGCGGAGGTGTTGGTCGCCGTCTTGTTATTTTTTTTAAAAATTTATCCATCGCCACTTCATTACGGAGTGCACATTGCAGGTCGGATCGGGTCGAGGGCAATCGCCTCTCTCCTCGCCTGAAAAAAAACGGGTTTGTTTTTGATGCGACGAGTTGGACGCGATCGGCTTGTGCCTCGATAGCCACTTTGCTCCATCGATCTGGCTAACAAACCGCCCTGACCCGACCCGATCCGATCCCCCGATGGGTGAACATCAACAAGCCTAGGCCAGTTACGGGAAATGGATAATTATGGACTTTGTGCACTTCGCGAAATTAAAGAGTTCTGTTTTCGTAGTAAAAATCTTTCGCTTTTTTAAAAGTAAAAATATAATTGTTTTGTGAAAAATGCGAAAAAAAAACGTGAAAAAATCCTGGGAATCCAAAATTATGCAAATGTTACGGAATTATGTGAAAAAACGCAGTTACGCCACGGACGCACAATAGCATAATCTAACGGGGACAAAATGTAAGACTGGATTTGGGCGTTTGCATCCATTTGAAATAACCTTTGACCCATAAATAACTAAAACAAACACATTTTAAAAAATTTTCTTGTTTTATAGCCATTCATACCATGACATAAAACAAAAAAATGAGCAAAATTATATTTTGGGTGATTTCTTTTCAAAATGACAATCTCAAATTGTCTCCCGGGCCCTGACCGTGAAATCCGCCATATCTCTCCTTCTCCTTGTCTTTGACTGTTTCTCTCAAATGACTCTTGTAATCTTAGGCCCTTCAGAAAATTAGTTTTTGGCTTATACCCTTGATATGTTTCTGGATGGACCTGCAGCAGCTGCTTTTATGTTTGTGATCTTTCCCAGAGGTTTCATGTGTTTCGTTGGGACAACAGAGGCAAAATGAGGTGGCAAAAACTGAACTCAACAAAACTGGAACTTCCCAGCAAGACCCTACTTGAGGTTCAGGAAGTGCAAGAGCTCAAGGGAGAAGTAAGATATTGTTTAATTTCTTTTTACCAGTGCCAGTAAAGTATGCTGTTATTGTTAAGAACAATATTTTTGTTACTTATCCCCTCCACCCTCCATTACTTTCAATTTGGGAACAATTTGTACTCAATGTTTTGACTTACCAATATTTCTTTGTACAAACATGAGAAAAGAACACTTTTCACAGTTGTCTGCATAAATGAAAGGAAGATTTTCATATTTCACAGCCAAAATGTTTTGATAATAAAGACTCTTGCCAAGGTACTTTAGCAGTATAAGTCACAACATATCATTCAGCGAAATGTTTTCATTTTGTTTTGGGAGTTCATATGGTACTTATTTGGAAATTAGCTAAAATCTGTTCGACTGTTCGACACATACGCACAAATGGTCTTTCATATGCACAACAGCAAACAAGAGCCTTATTTGAGTACGCTTTCAGAGTCAGAGGATGAAAAGTTATACATCATGGCCACTTCAGTAATTTGTTAATATTTTTGTTAAATGCTCTTTTTTTTTTGGTATATATTTTGTACTTGTGTTACTCAAATCATGGGTGGTTGGAGGACACCATTGTGAGGTCATTCCTTACTCTTTCACACTGTTATTTCTCTCTGCATGTCTCTCATTACCCCTGTTAAGAAATAACCATATTCATGTTGATGTCCTGTTTTTTAAAATCTTGCGAACATTTACTCAGCTCTTTTATATGTTGCTAACATCACTTCACAGGGCAAAGGTCAACGCAGGCAGACCACCATTCATGTGCTAGACGCTCTTTTCCTCTGTGGTGAAGATGTGAGGCAGATGTCTTTTGAGAAAAGGTAAGCCTTCTCACATCCTTCCCTGTAGGGACTTTTTCTTACAGAAAATTCTTTTGTCCTTAATTTCTTTTTTTTTTTTTTACTTCCAATGTTCATTTTTTTCAACGGAAGATCATTGTGAAGAATCTTATTTTTCATGTCTTTGTCCTTTGCCTTGATTCGGATCAATATGATTATTTTATTATATGTGTCACGACATGATGGAATCAGGAGCTCGCCAGTTTTAGCCACTTGGAGTTTTTGATATCATGTTGTTCATTTGCCTTGCTTTTGATGAAATAAGAAATAACCATCTAGCATGAATAGAATTCGAGCGGGGGTTCCCTAGTGCCAGAGGTAAAATTATCGAGAAAATGGCCATCAAATGAATTAACTTCCAAAGCAAAAGTGTCCTTGAAAACTGTAAATTTACTTTTTTTATACCTTTCATCCATGTTTTGTTTTTTTGTGGTAAAATTCACGCAGGAATGTATTCTTTTAACGGACCTAAAAGGTGTTGAGCAAACAAATTATAATTTTTTTTAAATTGCCCAGCTCTCAGAAAAATGCTGATTTCTTCGATTACATTATTTAGACAAGGGCTTGATTTCATAATATCTCACATATAACAGTGATCTGTGGATTGTATTTTAGATTTTTTATTTATTGTTTTTTTATTATTTTTAATTCTCATTCTCTCTTTTAGGCAAGAAAAACTGGGCAAATTTGTGCGTGCCTTGAGAAAGCCGACAAGGTCTGATCTGGCTTATATGTTAAAACCTGACGTCTTCCCTCTGGAGCAAATTGACAAGGTCTTTCAAAGGTAGGTGGCTGGACATGATACCCTAGTGCTTTAGCGCATTACTGTCTTCCTCATTTAAGTTTTAATTATCATTTGTATCAATGCTGCAAATATGAAAAGAAAAAGCAGATCGAGACTTGGGTATTTTTTTAATTTTGTGACATAATAAAAAAGATAAGTTTGATGTTTTTCGCCCCTTCGGACTTCATCAGGAAGGTGATAAAAAACAACTCTGTGGTAACAAAAGGTGCATTCACTTGTTACACGTTGTAGAATGATGATTTGTCATTATTATCAACATCATCATCATCATCATCATCATTCTTATTACAGTAGTCTCCGCCAAAACGAACAGTGCTTGGGAGGGCTCTTTAGCGTGTGTTTATGCATAGCGTGCATTTACATGAACCTTGACAAAGAGAGGAAGGGACGCAACCATCTCATTGCTTTGATATTTTTTTTAGTGACCTCCCTTAGGAGTCGGGGTCATTTTGGCCTTCTCCGATGACTACATTGTGAAGCATTCCCCGACTGCGGTTAAGAATACAAAGGCGTTGAATGGGTTGGTGGGGGGGGGGGGCAGAAAGATAGACTCAATGTAATGATATGCACCATAAAATGTCGGGAACAGACAGATAGCGTAAGAGGAAACTGTTGGTGATAGTCATAGAGACGACGGCGAAGTCACTTGGCTTTCCAAGCAACCACCGCTGGCAGTAAATTTATGGACGACATCAGAATCATAGATCTCTACATTCAGAGAAATATTTCTCTTGTAATTCGTTGAGCAAGTACATTATAAGCTTTTTGAGCGCAGCTGATTAAGCTTACTTGACTAATCTTTGATCCTATAGAGGCCTATCTAGTGTTCTATAGCATTCACGCATGCTGCGCATCACAGGCCTAGGTCTAACTAAACATTACAGTCATTCACCCAAACAACACCAGTCAGAAACCTTCTCTCAAAGATGCATTTCCAGTGACCTGTTAAAAAACATTTCAGTACTCCAACCCCCCCCCATCATTTCACCGATCAGTCCTAGACCTATGTGTCTGTGGAAAGTTGTGTGTCAAAACGCTGTCCATCACTCTCTTTGTTCGGTGTGAGGGGCACTCTCGCCAAATATCCAGTTTTCTCAGCTGGTCTTATGTTTCTCGGCTGGTCTTATGCAAGCTGTGAAGATTGTAGTAAAAATTTCCTCTACCTGTCAGCGTGTTTCGAGGATCAGAGCGTGTGTTTAGTTTGAGTGACCGTGCGTTTGTACGCCTAAATTATATTGTTAAAAACCTGTCATATGACGAAAGCGTGCATTTAAGCGGAGTGTGCTTTTGTATGGTGTGCGTTTTGGCGGAGACTATACTGTATTATGATTTGTTCTGAGAATAAAAACAGTTGGGACATGTAAGAAGACAATTTTGATAAAGATGATAAGTATATGATGTTTCACTCACACCAGCTTCATCTCCATTCTTGTTGTAAACATCATCATGTAGAGAATGAAGGAGAGAGAGAGAAGAAGAGAGATGGAGATAAATTATCATTATAAGAGCATTGTGCTTGTGTTCTTTGTATTTTTATTGTAAAAGGCATGGAGCACTTTCACAGTGGGAATGCGTTATATTATTTAAATTTTGATTTTTTAATATTTTTTTATATTATTATTATCATCATAGCAACTTGTCAAAGCTACTTCTGTCCTCCCACTTTCCCTTCATTCTTACTGATACCGCGAAATATGATTGTAGTACAGGACCTCGGATGAAAGCCATACATTATGATGTGATTTATCTACAATATGTATTGTACTTGCAAAAGATCTCGTTGTTTGTTTGAACTTATTTTATACTATGGAGAGCTTCTTTTCTGTTATGCATTTTTTTTTCCTGATCGATATAAGAGGCAATTTACATGCTCCATGCTTTAATTTCTCTCATAGGCAATATTAGCATTACCAATTAACTTGACTTATAAAAAATAAAATTGCTACTTAACTCTGCGTATGTGTACGGCCTACTTGATATTTGTATATTAAGATTTTGGCTTAATTTGGTCTTTCTGCATGTGGTCTTACTGCCTGTATGTGAAACCCTAAGCCTCAACTTGAATTAACTAGATCATCTAGATGTTTGCAGCACTAACTCAAAGGACCTATACCTGAGCAGTGGTGAGGATCATAAAAACCAAACAAAGTATCAACTCTCTCTCCAGGAAGAGGTTTTGAAGTCCTAAGCCTAGTTTAGTTGAAGATTTAATATTATCTGCAAGTTTGCTTTGGTGCTGCTAGTTTTGTTATATTCGCATATGTTTGCTTTGCTCGTTAATGCATTTATTATTTTTTATTTGTTCCTTCCAGACTCAGCATGCGGCAAATCAAGGGCTCCAACAACCCACGTTTATGTTACTGTAATGATTCCGGAAGCTTCTTTCAGCCTGCTGGGGTCAGCATTCTGCAGACAGTCAAAGGTATTGGCCTCATCTCTGTTATTTGGAGTGTCCCTCCTGCCTTTTGCTCAGCAGAGATTACTTAGGATTTTCTTTGGACCTTGTTCTGTAGCACAAGAACGAGACCACATTACCAAGCTGACAAAAGAGCCTTTTTAAAAATCACCGCAGTTTTGAAATAAAGAGGCTTTTAGTCAGCGTAACCATTTAAAAAAGGAGTTCTTCGGAAATTTGAATTCTAGATTATATAAAAACTAGTCACAGTTTCACTTGTTTTTTTCACACAAGTAGGGTAACTGATCAGACTTTCAATTTAGCAAATAAAAAATTTGGCTCCGAAAATGAAAAAAGGCGTTTTTGTCAGCTTACAGCAGTATTGGCCTCATCTCTGTTACTTAGAGAGTATCATTCCTGCCTTGTACTCAATGGAGATTACTTGTTCTTTTCCTTTGACCTTGTTCTGAAATAGTATAAGAAAGAAATGAAATTGTATAAGGAAGAGACCACTTTTGTCTATCTAAACTGAATTTTGTTTTTCATTTTTATGTATAAATGCAAAATGTACAATATGAAAATAGGAGCTCGGCTCAGCTTCTGAGAAACATATGCTCAGACCTTGAATGATTAGAATGCTCACTATCGCCTTCAAATATTTGCCTGGTGTGGTGAGTTTAGGACGAAAGGACAACATTATGAACTGATATAGGTACATTTGTTTCAGTCCGAAGAACTGAATACAACAATTATGCACAGCGTAACAACAGTTGCAGACATTACCTTGCCATTATTGGTTGCCACAGTGCAATGTTATTATTAATCCGAATACAGGAAAAAGAGGCTAAAACAGCACCTGGACATGGATGGCTGGTGCCTCTATAAATAAATCATTGATGGTCTGGTCTGGTCAGTGCAATGTTAATTTTTAGCTGGAATTGGTGCTCTAATGGTTAAGCTACCTTACTCTCAGCTGTAAGTGGTAGGTTCAAATCCTATCCAGGGCCCAGCAGTGGGACACTTGACTTGACTTACGGGACTTGAACATCTAGCTCTCACTGATAAGATTGAAGGCAAATGAGATATGGGTAGACCCACAGCAACTGACTTGAAAAGCCTGAACAGATTGGTGACAGGGAAAGACCAGGATGATATAGTTTTTTGAGAGCATCTGAGCAAAGAAATAAATGACATATCATGACCGTCGATGTATATCGCAGATCTTGAACTTCATAATGGTGATTTTTTCATTTGTTTCATTATTTTTTTTTCTAATTTTTGATTCTTCAGACTACTGTGCATATTTCCCTTTTTAAGATAAATGATAATGTTTGAAATAGGCAGCTAACATTCTGTGGGCTCATATTTCATTTTGTCCTCATTTATATTTTGAGTAGAAGTCTAAAACATTTTCTTTTAGTTTAGAATGTGATTTATTTAAGGTGCAGTTTTTTTTAAAAGAGGGAGGGACAGAAAAATAAACTTATGTGATCAATATCATGCAGTAAAACTTTTAACATTTCAGAACCGTGGATCCGTGGTTACAGCAAAAGCACAGGTCGAAAATACTGGTTCAACATTTTGAGTCGGGAGTCTGTTTATGAATGCCCCAGCGGTGCAACAGCATCTGTCAGGTAATACAGCTTGTCCTTCTCTACAGTTCTTTTACCCAGTCATGCCCTCTGTAAGCTGTCACCGGACAGCTTTTTCAAAGAATTTTTTGGAAGTCGGTGCAGAGACTGTTGTATAATAGATAAAGTTCAGAAACTGGTGTAGTGTTAATGAGAAGACATGATTATAATGACAATGAAAGCCATACATTAATTTTATCGTTTTAGACCACATAAATTTTCTAGCATCCTATTACAATAATATGTTTGTCTGTTTTATGCTACAGAAGAACAAAATGAAAGCAAGCAAGGAAACTAATGAACAGTAGGAAACAAATATTTTTTTTAACTCACTTGAGCCTGAGCTATTTTTGACCCAACAACCTTTGCAGCCTGACAGTTTTGAGGTATATTGAATCGTTAAAGTTAACCACAGAAAGACTGAAAGGTACCATAATTTTTTTAATGCAATTAAAGAATTGAATGCTCTTTTAGAAAAAGGAAACTGCAACTTTTTTGTATGAATAGTTTTTATTTTTTCCATATTTTGAAAAGGTAATGTCGAGGGGGGCGGAACACTATTTTTGTTGCACCCAATTAGTAATAAAATTATCTATTGCAATGCAAGGGTGACTGACTTAGTCCATTACAGCTCAAAAAGTAGGTACCAGAAACTAAATTTTCAAAGTAGGTGTATGCCAAATTTATCTGTTCCATTTGAAAGGCCTATATCCATTGAGCATTTTGGTACCATTCTTTTTAGCCTCTCAGTCAATTTTTAAGAAAATGGTAGTTGTTTAAAATTTGATCAAATTTGTTAGTCAGTCACTGGCTGCATCCCCATGTTTGACAGATAATAAAAGAGTACCAACTTCAAGAGCACTAAACATCTCCACATTAACAGAGTACAATCACTATAACAAATATATGGAGCCTAATTTTTTTCAAGACAGATCATTGCAACCGAGCGTTGACCCGGCCGGCGCCGCACAGGCCCCCGCGGCGAGCGAGTCGGCTTTATACTGTAGTGTACCCCGCATGGGGGGGTCACATGTTTTCCGAGTCTCGCGGAAGGATTGATGCAAAATAATTCCAAGCTGATTACTCTGTTCTAATAGGAAATGAACTAATCTTTTAATTGATACCATTTTTGAGCCGGTATTTTACATAATTTGTGTAAAAAATTATCTTTAAAATTTTGTACGGTATTTTTAAAGGCTTTCTATTTAAACGCCAAAGGCCAAAAATATACCACGGGAAAGCCTGTTTAAAGCTCTACAGTTCTCCGGCTATGAAAAGACGGTATTTAATCATCCCTCTTTCCGCGAAGCATTTGAATGCATGCGTGTCAATTTTTGAACCGGCCGACCACGCATTCCGACCGCGAGGGGCTTCGCTTTCCTCGGCAATGCTCCAGCTAATATGACATATAAACAACTTACACCATTGTAACAAGGAAAAGCTGAACTTTTACAAGGTGTACAGCGTTTGGTGTTTTATAGCGAAAGAGCAAAGAAACAGCGATCGGAATTACCCCGATTTCACCGATACCATGCGGTCGGAAGGCCTCTCAGTGCCCACGAGGCCGTGTTTACGCCACCTACAAAAAGTATTGCGCCATAACTTCACCAAATTTTTTTAGGAAATGAAACAAGTGGGTCAAGTGTTGGCTCGCTGCTTCCTGTAGCTTGTAAACGAAAATCACTTAAGATATTGATCAATAAAGTGCATCCCGTAAATACACGGGATTCTGCCAGCGGGTCGGCAGGGCGCCCTGTAAATACACGAGAATAGGCTCAAGTGTTAACACTTTGCAGTCACCCGGCCAGCAGTAAAAAATGCCCAATATGGTCCCACAGCCAGAAGAGTGACTGCAACGGACTTCTTGGGCTTGGCGTAGTGTGACCAGAATGGATAATTTCCACCGCCACATTATTGCGCCAAGTGATCGCAAAGTGTTAAAGAACTGAGTAAACTTTTGTCATGAGACCTGTAGCACATAATTTGAACTCAAGAAAAATCTACCAGCATATTAGTTTATGATAGAACATGAAATGATTCTGAATAATTAGTCGCTTTAAAGGACAAGCGGGCTAACCCAGATTTTGGGGGTTTCCAAAAATCTTGACCTTCACCAAAAGTGGGCATTGCCCTACCTATAGGAGAAGTTTAGTTTCTTTGGTGTGTATATTTATTTAGTTGTAAAGAAAACTCTCCTTGTCTTTTAAAGAAACTGAACAAGGGGCAAAAACTTTTTCCCTCGATTTTCTCAAAACAGCATTTTTGGGGATAGCCCCCTTGTGCTTTAAAGCGACCAATTGAGCAGTGGTCTTAAATTGTTATTCCCATCACACAGCATAGCCACCTGTGCACACCAGGAATAAGTAAAAGTTGCTCGCCACTGGAAAATGAATATGGAAAGAATGGTGATAATCATGAGTTGCAGTTCCGTTATATTTTTTTAATTTTTCAGCAATAGTTGAAAAGATTTAAAAACTTTGTTGCTCTGAAAATGCCTATATCTTGTGACCAAAAAATCCTTCACTGTGAGACTAGGGCGGGATTATGCTAATAGGCTACACTTAAGATATTCAGTCAGGAAGGTTTGTTTGTTATTAAGGTGGTGTGGTATTTGAGCTAACTGGGCAAGGGCCAAGTTTTGTTACTCTATGTCTTTTTCATATTTAAGATTTTATTTGAGATATGAAATTGAAAAAGGGCTGGTTCAACGCCCAACTATTCTCAGAATTTTTTTGTGTGACGGCACAAAGTAGTTTTGTTTCTTTTTCGTTTAATGTCACACGTGCACTATAAATCTACCAAAATAGTTGGAAAATAATTTTTGTATTGTCTCTCATGATCTAAAAAAAAACACGATTTCCTTTTACTTCCGTAGTGATTGTAAAAAGAACCTTCTAACGTGGTTGTGGACGGACGGAGTTCGAGTCCACCCTGATCAACAGCATGAAGACCCAAAACAGCTGTCCAAGGATCAGATTCTGGCCTTCATCAAAAAGCTTCGGAATCCCTGAGAGGCGCTAATGTTTCTTACATTTTGCTCATCCGTCTCATCTTTTGTCTTATTTGTACACTCGAGGCAGTGTATGGTCATGTTAGTGAAAGACAGTGCTTTTTTGTCTTATGCACTCTTGTGAAATACAAGAAGAGTCAACGCAGAGTCTTCCTGTCATTGTATGTTGCTTGTGAAGACATATCCATGTCCCCGAGCCATTCAGGAGCAGTAACTATGCGTTAAGGTTCCTCAAGTCATGTTGCATGGGTTTGTGTACAATGCACATGCTGCTGTCATTTGAATAGTTGAAGCTTTTATCAGTATCAGAGATTTAGAATTTCTCTTCTAGTAAGGTTGTCCCTCTTTAAAAACTTTGCTGTGAAGCATGTACACCACAGGCCACACCATTACACCCAAATGAAAGGCAACAACATCAGTCTTGCAATAGCTGAGGTCGGTCGGCACCTTCCCCCTTGTCCTTCATGTCCTTTGTGGATCAATAAAGTTTATCTTTTCCTATATTTTGTCTTATTTGGCGCATATGGTGTTCTCTGTAGTGAACCGGTAGTACACAGAATCTAAAATATTTTATATATCTATGATGTGCACCAGCCATTCCTTCTTTACATTAGTTGTTTTACCCCCCTGTCATGGATAGCTTTGCTTTTATATTTTAGTATTTTTTAAGGTTTACTTGTAGATAAAACATATTAATGACCAAAAACACTGTGACATTTAAATAATGAAACAGACTTGTATTGTCCATTTTTAAAAATGATTTTTCTTTTAAGTGTTACTGTTATATATCGACCCGTATTCAATTACAAAAATGTCAGAATGATTTTCTTGGAATTTGTTTACATTTCCTTTGCTCAAGTGGACTGCTTTTTTTTTATACGATCAGCTTCCTGTGGTATAAGTATGCATATTGGGGTTTATGGCATTGATAACTTTTAGGGTTTTATAGAGGGATTTGGAGGGGGGGGGGGTGTTTGTGCTTGCCTCAAGTCAGTGGCCAATATCTGTAAACCGTGCTCAAACCAAATATTTAACCCCAAAAATCCTAGGTTTATGACTTCCGATTCCAAAGCATATGCTGCCTTCAGAGTTCTCTCTATAGGCTCTATAACCTTGTGTTTAGGTCATGAAATTGAATTGTTAGAAAATCTGAGTTGGTTGTATAGTATAACGTGCAAGTCAGATAACTCAAAATTATATACTTGTATGAAAGCACAATGTCATCATTTGTCCTGCAGTGCCCCTTACACCCTATTTTGTGAGTAATACAAAATGTCAAGATTAGTGAAAGTCATTTCCTTTGAATTAACTTAGTCCCCAGAGAATGAATTACGTCTGCTAGATTAAATTATATACTAAATGTGATACAGTTACCTCCAGAAATATAGATGCTTGCCGGATGTTCTGGTGTATTATAGTTTAATGCTGCTACTTATTGATGAAGACTGAACAATTGAAGGAAAGACTATATTTTATTGTAATACAATTCTCTATGGTTAATTTTTACGGGACAAGTATTCAGATTTAATGTCTATTTCCAATATAACCCAATCACACGGATAGAGAGCCACGAAAATGTAAAAAAACAGAAAGACAAGTTCCAAATCACTGCATTATGGATTCAAACCACAGTCATCCACATTGTTGTCTAGTAGGATACCTACTGAAGTAAAGGAGTACCCAGGAAAAACTGAGGTATTAGAAAATATAAAAGTTAATCTTTTTTTTTTTTTGAAAGGGCTAGAATACTAAATGTGAGGCATCGTGGTGAAATCAGGCGCTTGTCAAAATAATAAAATTGAAGAAACTGGCATTTTCCCGCCAGTTTGGCTATTTTTATCTTCTTTTTTTTTTTTGTTGATCAACATCTTTACGTCCATTCAAGAACACATTTCTGCGTGGGTTTTACTGAAAACCATTGATTAAAGGCACAAAAATGTAAGATTTCAGTTTCCAGGAGCTCAGAAGCTATAGAAATAACCCAACTTTGGTGGCCATTTTCTCGCCAGTTCAACCTCTGAAGCAAAGGCACCTCAACCTCCTTCTATTGTGGATATCTCGACTTCTATTCAAGATAAATGGGTATTTTTTTCATCAAAGGCGAGACAAATGGACAGGCTTTAAGATAACACCAGTAACTCCACAAGCCCAAAAATTGACTAGTGCATGATTTCACCGCGTCATGACACAAATATAGGTCTAGATATATCTACATGAGAAAGGATTTTTATGGGATTGTTGAAAATGAGAGGAAAGTATTTGTTTTAGTACATGCCTGGAAACGGAACTGCTGTTCCCTTTTGGTCCTTACAGAGACTGAAGGGAAGTTCATTTCTTTCACTAACATTTCTCCATTATATGAGAATTTCAGTTTTCTTTAAATGAATATGTGTTCATGCAATATGTACTCTTATTCTTTTTCTTGTTTTGTTTTGTTGTTGCTATTGACACTATTGTTATTATTATTGATCTAGCTGGGCACATGCTTTTAACACTTCGCCCAATGTCATGAACTGGTTTGTTGTAATAATAATGATCATAATTGCATTTAATAAATGCTCTACAACATGCTGGTTGCTCTTTGCAACTATTGCAACTATTTGTTAAGGCTTTCTGTGGTGTCCCTTAGAATGTGTTCTGTATGTTAAGTTTCAGTAGAGGGGGAAGAGTATCACTGAGTATATGATCAAGTGCTGGGCAGTGGAAAACATAACCGTCCACAGTTTCATATTATTATGTGTGTGCCCACTTGCACAACATTGGTTGTTATGTATTTACAATCATCTGAATAATAACCTCATCTGGATTATAGCAAGTTGAATGCACAATTTGTGGGTTCTCGTCTGCTGACTTTGTAATGAAAGAGCACAAATGTTTTGGTGGTTGGCAGGTGCTCTGGTATGGTTTGCTCTTTCTTTCCAACAAACCTCTGTCGTCCTGATCTCTCCTCCTTTTTTGTGTTTGTTACTCTCTTGTAGCACCTCTAATCTTCGGCACTAATATGACCGTCTTCTTTTTCAAATGCCATAGAACTCTTATTAAAACTTAGAGTAGGAGCAAAATTGTGAATTTATGTCAAATACCTTCTTTGAAGCCATTGCCTTTTTTCTTTGTCCCTGTTCCGTAGAATTAGATTGAAGCGTGTATCAATTATGAATTGGAAATTACCAAATTGTGTTGTTTAGAAGCGGATAGCTCAGAGAAATTTAGGTACTTGTGAACTAAACTGCCTCAGTCTGTCTTTATTGTCCAGCACAATGTGTTGGGGTTATTGTATAGAGGTGGGTGGTTGGCAGGTGCTCTGGTGTGGTTAGCTTCTTCTTTCCTATCAAACATCTTTCGTCCTTATCTCTCCTCCTCCTTTTTTGTATTTGTTACTCTCTTGTAACACCTCTAATCTTCGGCACTTATATGACCTTATTGTGTTGCAAGTGCAGTAAAACACTAACTAAAACTAATTGTATAAAGTAGGAATGCAGTGGGAGTGAAGTTGTTCATGCATCCTATTTTAAGCAGTCAGTACTCTTGTACTGAAAGGAGGGTGGGTATTGTGTGTGTGTGTGTGTGTGTGTGTGTGTGTGTGTGTGTGTGTGTGTGTGTGTGTATTTGTGTGTGTGTGTGTGTGTGGGGGGGGGGGGGTTGTATTTTATTATCTTGAAATGCTTTCCACTTTAAATCTTCTCTTGAGACAGTTTCAGCACCTTTGGTATTCCATTGGGCAAGAACCTCAGAGTGGTTCTACTTCAGTGGTTCTTGCAGAGTATTGGCCCTTAGGAATTCCATTTGAACACTTGGACTGAGGCAGTCAAATTACATTCCACAATGGCTTTGGACTCCCTGTATTTCAAAATTGTTCAATTTTTCCGAATTTCTTACTGAATCGGCCGCTTACCTTTTGCAAAATGTGCTATAATAAATTTGTTGGTAATATTATAATTTAAATGAAACATTTCTCTTGTTTTGAGAAAATTTGAGAGAAATTATTTCCTACTGCCTTTGCTCATTATATTATGTTGCCTTGTTGGTGCTTAGAAATCTTTAGCTGCATAGAAATACCTGCTTTATGCCCTCCTACATATTTCTATGAATAATGTTTTTACTGGTTTGCTTTTCTTATTCGCCATTTGAGCAGCATATTTTGGAATAAATGCCAATACTTATTCATAATCATTGACACAGATGATCTTCATGTCACTGGGTAGCAATTCAGTTATGGTAACTCTGGGTTTTTGGTGAAAATCACTTTTTTTTTCCTACATATTACAGTGGGAAGGTCCAGGCGCTTGCCTTGCAAAAACTTCAGTCGTACGATTGTTTAATGAAAACGCACTTTAAATTGAAATTCACAGATTTTGCTAATGGATATTATAGTGGAAAATATCAGGGGGTTTTTTGGTCCTCTTGTTAAATAAAGAAAAGACAGAGTCATGATAGTTGGGCTGTTAATTCATGATGTGTCTGCCATCACCATTAATAGTGAATGTAGAAACAAGTTTGTTCTGGTTGCAGTATTCTCAGCGATAAACCACGTCCTTTTCAAGAAGGTTTGGAACACAGCTTGTGTGTGTACAGTTTAATTAATGCCATGAGAAAAAATAAATGCTTGTCTTATTATAACTGAAAAACCCTGTTTTTTTGTGTTAAAAACGATATCCACGCCCACCCCCAAATTACCAATAGAGAAATGTTAACTTTAGCAGGGGGTACGTTTCCTCTCGTGGTGTCTGCCGTAAGCTGACAAAACGCCTTTTTTAAATTGAATTTTGGTGCCAAAATTTTTTACTTGCTAAATCAAAGCCTGATCAGATACCCTACTTGTGTGAAAAAAAATCAAATTGAAACTGTGACTAGTGTTTTTAATAAATTAGAATTCAAATTTCGGAATGACTATTAAATGATTACGCTGACCAAAGAACCTCTATTACTTGAAACTGCTCTGATGAGAAAAAAAGGCGTTTTGTCTGCTTACGGCACTGCTACTGTAACACATGGGCTGCTCCGTGGGAGACTCCGTCGTACGCATAGATGTACACTATAGGTTTAAAAGGGGGTAACTCTATGGAAGACGTCACTTTTCAAAATAGGATAAGACGGAGTCAGGAGCCCAGAGGAAGGGGCTGTCCGGATTCGAACCCGAGACCTAGTGAAAGAGAGGCAAACCATAACCCCTCGACCGCGATAGCCCTCATGATTAGGTAGATGGAGACTAAGTGATATGGTTAAGTTTGTGGGTACGTGCATATAGTTCTGTATGTCGATAGACAGCAATGAGACCAGAAGTAAAAAGGGAAGTGTCTGCGTTTGATAATCATGGTACATGAGAGATGGTTATTGGCTTACAGGTCATCGGGAAAGAAATTGGAGAGAAAAGATCTTGCGATCTTCTAACAGTGGACCCTCGAACACAAGCACATAATTCAAAAATGAATACTAAAAGCCCCCCCCCCCCCTCTCTCTCTCTCTCTCTCTCTCTCTCTCTCTCTCTCTCTCTCTCTCTCTCTCTCTCTCTCTCTCTCTCTCTCTCACTCTCTCTCTCTCCCTCTCTCTCTCTCTCTCTCTCTCTCTCTCTCTCTCTCTCTCTCTCTCTCTCTCACGTGCGAGTGAATGCGAAGGCAAACTCCGAGAGCATATAATTTGTGAGGCAGCGTGGTGCAATCAGGCTCTCATCAATTTTTGGGCAGGTAGAGTTATTGGTATTATCTTAAATCTTGCTCAATTGACTTTATTTCGATGAAAAAAATATCCATTGATCTTGAATACAAGTCGAGATATTTGCGAAAGAAGGAAGTGGGGGTCACCTGTTTTCAGAGGTAAAATTAGTGAGAAAATGGCTGCCAAAGATTAGTTATTTCCTTAGCTTAAGAGTCGGTGGTAACTGAAAATTTACATTTTTATGCCATTAATCTACGTTTTTCAGAAAAATCCACACTGAAATGGGTTCTTTCTTGGGCATGAAAGGTGTTGAGCCAAAAAACAAAAATTAATAAAGATTCACAAACCTGCGGAAAAATGCAAGTTTCTTCATTTTGATTGTTTTGACGAGAGCCTGATTCTACCATACTGCCTCAAATGTGTTATTTTTCAGTCTCTAATAGATTTGCTACTTTAGATACACCCCCACTTTCCTCCTACTGTCTCAAGTAACAAGTTCCTGTTTTTTTCTGAATCCTCTTGAAACACGAGACAACCCACAGCACATAAATACCATTTCCTTGAATCCAATGCAACACTGATAAGTAATTGCAATAAATTGCTCTAAATTAGCCCCATGACCCTTTATCTTCAGCTTCTGAGGTTCTAAATTGAAAGGTCCCTGTACTTTGCTGTTCTACCAGATTAATCCGTCTCGAGTTACCCGAAACAGCACCAGTGATGTACATCTACTTTTTATTCATTACCTTTTTACCACGCGCAAGAACGGTGGAATTCTTTCCTTTCGCGTGTAAAAATCGAGACTCCACGTGCGTCTAATATTTGGGGGGAAAAAAGTATGTGAGATTTGCCAAGTTGGACGAGAAGCCATAGATGAAACTATTCACGCGTCACCGGAAGGACCCATTTAAAGGGCAGTCGCTCGATTATCTTTGGACCAATTTCAACAAAACGTTGGAGAAATAAATTCAACAAGGGGACATTAGTTCATTACACTAAACTTGCCAATATGATAAACATCAGCCAACATGTTCGAAAAATATCTTCTTTTTTTTAAATTTGACAAAACTGAGTGGAACGCAAAACTTT